CAATTTTAACTTATTTTCACAATCAACAGAACATGTAATGTGACTTTTGCTTACGTCTGCATGTGATGTGATTTGCCAGGCCCTAGGCAAGTTGCTGTGGAATAACCCAAGGGTAAATGCTTAAATATTGTGTGCATGTAATAATATAGGGAAAAAGAGCAGATTGAGGAGTTTTTCTCAGGCTGTGAGGCTATTACAGAGACTGTTGGTATGGACTGTAGCAGGCATTAGTGCTGGGCCCTGGGCACTGGCCACATGTGGCTCAACTGGACCAGATGGACCTCTGACGGCCTCGATTGGCTCCAACGCCACTATGTACGGACAGGGTGGGGGTGGACTGCGTGTGGTCAGCTCCGCATCAGGCCTGCTACTACCGTCTGGCTCTGTAACAAGCAGATTTCAAATACGAGGGATTAGAGCCGATGTAGGCTATACGCACGCCCACATCACATACTCTCACGTGCACGCAAACACACACGCTCACGTCACGATCACTGGGCAGAGATCAGCTGGAGGTGAAAGAGTGGGAGAGCAGTGATGATTTATACACGAGTGAGTGCAGTAAGCAGGCAGAGATATGGGCAGGAGGCTAAAACACTGAGCGTTTCTCACTGAATACTTATAGTTTAGTGCTCATCTGAGTCACTTACATTTACTGTCTTATAACAACTCAAAGCCGCACTACGTAAGGCCTTATTCACACATGCTAACTCTGCGTTGCGTGAGTGACACGGCAGCGTGAGCACTACAGCTGGAACACACTGGCCTTTTATACATAGTGTTTAAGCTGCAGAGCAGAGCAGCGAGAAAGTTATACAGACGTTCCTTTTTCCAGATGGATAAATGGTCACATCAGTCACTCTGCTCAACAACAATATAGTTTATAAAAGTCTACTGTATATTTGTTTGTCTTCGACAGCTTTCTGACTTGAGATTAGGCAAAAGTTTAACCCTGGTAGACCAACCAGGAAATCTGTTTGCAGCACAGAATGTTTAACTGGTATTTTGTTATAGATTAAATAAAAATTAAAAAAAAGCTTTTAAGTTTGTATAGTTTTCTGTTTAATTTTCACTGATTTTCATGGCTTATTTTAGTGTGTTTTGTTGCATGATTGTGCAGAAAAAAGAGTGCCTGGTCTATTCTTTAAACACTGCACCGCTTCAGTGCGGCGTCTGGGACGCTCTGCTGCTTCGCACATGCAGTCTGTGTGAAAGCGCTGACCAGTTAACATGGGCGCCAAAATGAAAAGCATGACTTTTCACGTCGCTCACAAATGCAGATGCAGTATGTGTGAATAAGGCCTAAGATCTTTGTTAGAATTGAGTCAGCGTTGGGTCAGATTTGACAGGTGTTTTTCAGACCACGTTGTATGTCTTTACATATTAACGTCACATGCAAAGGTACGGCTCAGTGTTTAGGTCTCAAATGCAAAGTCAACATTATATTGTTCAAGATATGATGACAATAGTAGAAAATCTTCTTACATCCTTGGAAGACACTTCCTTCACTAAGCCACCAAGATTTCTTACTCTTTCAGTGTGATCACAATCATTGGATTCATCCACTCAGGGAAGAGGCCCAAAGCACAACTGATGTACCTTTTTAGGCCATGCATATGTTGCAGGCACCACCAAAATACCCATGCACACATACTTGTGGGGAAATTATTTATAAATATATTTAAAAAAGTTATATTTCTAACTACAGATCAGTGTCTAAAGGAAAAAACAATATAAAGTGTCTTGGTAAGCTTTTGACCCACCACAAGCAACCAGAACATCTTCACTGTGCTTTGGACGTAGATTTAATGGCGCTGTACTAGAAAGATGGGCACTGTTATTCCAAAAGATAGTAATTTTTTGCTTGAGGTGGTGGAGAGTGTTGTCTAACACTTTGGTCCAAAACATCTCACAGGTGTTCAGCTGGGTTGAGATCTGGTGATTGTGACGCTCGTAGCATATGATTATGTCATTTTAATACTCATCAAATCATTCAGTGACCCCTTGCACCTTGTGAGTGGGAGCATTGTCAGCCTTGAAGAGACCACTCCCATCAGGATAGAAATGTGTCATTATAGGATAAAGGTGATTGGTCAGAGTAACTTTCTATTGATATGCAGTGATCCTTCCCTTTCAGGGGACAAGTGGGCCCAAAACATGCCACCAAAGTGTCCCTCACAGCAAAACAGCCACCGGACTCCTTACTGTAGGGGTCGAGCATTCAGCCCTGTATCATTCTCTTGTACGCCCGCACATGCATTCGCCCACCTGTGGAGGAGATTGTGACGATTGACTCATCTGACCGTATCCCTTTTTTCCACATCTCTGTAAATGAATGCCTATGGATTTTACATCACTGAACTCTCAAGTGGTCATTTGTCTTCGTAATGAGGGGTTTATACACTGCAGTCCTACTATAATATTTCTCTCTGTGTAGGTGTGGACAGACTGTTCTTGCTGACACAGTCTGATCACGTCCCACACTGACATTCTCAGTCACCTGAGAAACGCTTGCTTTTCTGTTTTTCCTTTTATATCCAACTAATGCACAGGCATCATGTATCATGTATATCATGTATAAAAACATGTATGTATATAAACACACTTTAGTTACGCAGATGGCATTAGAAACTAATGCTATTACTGGTCTTATATTATCAGTGCAATGTGCCAACCCACTTTGCCTCAAGCTGTGGCATTTTTACATATATCTGCCAGCCAAAGAAACTTGCTTGTCTTGTATTGTGTTCTTTCTCTCTCTCTCTTTCCTCCCTCTCTCTCTTCATCCCTCTTTCTCCCTCTCTCCTCTCTCCTCTCTCCCTCTCTCTCTCCCTTCCTCTCCCTCTTTTTCTCTGGTTTTCTCATGTTCTCTGTGTCTTGTGTTTGCTCCATCATAATTAAGCTAGATCATTTTTTATCTGGACTCTCAGCTCAGTTCGGAATGCTTTACTGGCAAACTGACCAGCTGATGTTGAAGTCATCATGATGTTATGCAGGTTATATGTGAGGAACGGAGAGAACAGTTCTCTCTGTGTGTGCGGTAGATGTAGCCTGGGCTGGGTGGTGTCTTGTGACCTTTTCCTTCCTGTAGGATTAATATAATACACTCATTCTCCTTCAGACACAAAGCCCTGTCACTGCAGCACATTCCATTAGTCAGTTCATCCACTGACAGCTCTCTCTGCTCTTATGAAGACTGACATTACTATGAGCGTTTATGTCTGTCTTGCTTTATTAATGTTGTGCCCTTTAAGACCGCAACAGATAGTGGTGCAGCACACTGTGCAGTACCTGTTTTGGTACTGTTTCTTATGGGAGGATCTGTTTATTTAATAGCCCAAGTCAGGGTTGTTGTGATACCAAAATTTAGACTTGGATACTGATACCAAATGTTGTATCATGATGCCCAATAGCAAAACAGTACTAAGCAACTGAAGATGATAAATTGATGTTATTAAAATGAATTCATAAATTATTGTGAATTTGGCACTCAGTCAGCCCAAAACTCTTCAAATGTTAAGTGAATCAAAGTAACTAATTCAAAGCCTCTTTCAAGTGAAGATTAACAGTGAGACAAAGGTGTACACTACAGCCCAACGTTCATAACACTGTGTTTAATACAAAAACGAAATAAGGTGACGCTGCAGAGTAAAATTCTTCATCTGTATGTTTCAGATATGCTAATGAGGCTGTCTTTGCCTATCTGGGAAAATTAGCATGCTCAGTTTGATTAACTTACAGGCAGTACTTACAGGCATACAGTGCACATGTGCCATGTTAGTCATATTTTTAAGACTTTTTAAGTTAATTTAAATAAAGAATTTAGGGTACTCAAAGTTAGAGTATTGAATTGTTTACCATGTTTTGTTTGTTTCCTATATCTAGAAAGTAACTTTCTATATATTATGGAACACTAGTGATAATCTTGATAATGTCCCTGTTATAGTTACAGCGATTTGTATTAGTCTTTTTGTGAAAAAGGCTAAATACAGCAATAATAAGCAATATTATTCGCTCTTTAATGCGCCAAACTGGCATTTTAATAATAATCAATTAGAAGCAACTGTCAATTTAACGCAAAGAGTCATGCATAATTATGCTACGATATTTTGTTATGGGTGTAGCAGCAGCATTTAAAAACACAGATTGTGCACAATAAAAATAACAAATTAGCAGCGGTCAGGGTTGGGAGGTATAACAGTTAAAGGGACACTGTGGCATTTAAAAATGATGCCGGTATTTAACAATGATACCAGTATTTCAAAATTATGGTCAGTCAGATTTCTATTCCGCGTAGCCACATAAAACCATTTATATTTTAGAAAGGCTCACTAATTGGTGGTTGTAAAATCAGAGCCAGGAAAATCCCAGGCACCAGACACTTGACTTTTGCGCTCTTTATCATCTACACTTGTTTCAGCAGAGCACTAGTTAGTTAGAATCAAACCTTTACTGTGGTGTGTGTCACTGTTTGTACCTGTAGGCTGCTCGCTAAGCTAACGTTAAGTTAGCCGATCAAGCTACAGATCCAAACACCCCAGAACAGGTTTAATTTCGTCTTGCTCGACTCTCTCAGGTTCTGGACGTTACCATCTTAGCTTGTCTTGGGCCTTTTTTTGTAACAGAATCAGAGATGTTATCTGCGCTGTTATCGTGCTAGCTAAGCTAATGTTAAGCTGCTTCCCAACCCGGGAAAACTAATACTGTGGAAAGGTCTTTGTCGTCCCCTCTGGCACAACTGGAAACTGTCCTAGATATACTGAATTTGCTACTGTGTGATGCATGTGGTTTTAAATGATAAGACAGTATAGAGCTTATCAATAATTTTGTCCTGATTTATCTGCTTACCAAAATTGCTAATCATCCCAGCCCTAGTTATTTCTGAGATTCCTACTTTTTGACTCTCGTCACGTGAGTTAACTGTACCATCTCATTAACATCCCAAACTGTTGTCTTGCCTGCTTTAATGCATTCGTTTATGTGTGTCTGTTTTTTTCCAGATCATCAGAAGCTTGAGAGAGAGGCTCGAATCTGTCGACTGCTCAAGCACCCAAATATTGGTGAGTCTTATTCCTAATAATGATGCCATGTAAAAGTTTGAGAAAACATAAATTGTCCAAATTGCATGAACGTTCCCAATTATAGATTTAAAACTGATTTGATGGGCTTATTAAAGCTTGACTACAGCAATACAACCTCAGCCCAGCTCATACTATTGCGTGAAATGAGTTGTGTCTGTAATGAAATCTGCGATTTTCTCCCTCTTATTACAGTTCGACTTCATGACAGCATATCAGAGGAAGGCTTCCACTACTTGCTGTTTGACTTGTAAGTGTGTGTTCCTTTAGTGTTAAGACTCTTGGCATTCAACTCTTGACCGCTCAATGTAAGCTGTGCATTGTTCTGTCTCACACCTCCTCACTGAGGGCTTCCTTCTGAAGACTGTCTGATGTCTTTGGTGGAGATGTTTTTCTCTTATGACTCTCATGTTATTGTACTCTTTTTGAGCATGAAAGTGGAAGCAGGGATGAGTCAGAATTTTTGAGAAATCAATAGAAGCAACTGAGGCATCGTGGTTCAAATGTCACATCGGGGAATCAAAGTGTTGAGGTTAAAAAAGGAATGGTAAGCGCGAGGGGAAGTGGCGCACTAAACCTCAGCCAACTGCAGAGTGGAAGGTCAAGTAGTTGCCGCTTTATGTAGAGCCGCCGTAGGTTCATTCTAGGCCTATACTTGAGCTCACTTCAGGCAGTAGCATATAATTCAGCCTGTTTATGTGTTGACTACTTCACCACACAAACTATATTCAGTCTGTTTTGAGAAATAAATGTAACTGCTAACCCTAACAGTCTCATTTTCAGTGACTTAGGGCCAATCACGTTTCCTGTTTTTATCCCTACCCCTTGTTTTTGAGTGTCACCTTGCCCCTTGGAACTGAGTTAAAAGGTATAGTGGTTGAAATCGTCCTCTACAAAATGGGACAACCCTCAAATAAAAAAGAACATTACTTCATTAACAGGCTACTAGTGGTGCTCTGTAGGCGACCCTGCCGGTCTGCAGTGATAGCAGAGGGGTAAGGGCTAAGTGGTAGGGGCGAGGGGTGAAGTGCGATTGGGCCTTTGTCCCCTTTAATTCATTAAAACTGGATCAGCATGTGGAATCATAGCGATCTTTGCACTACCGTGTTTTCTACCACTGTGTAAAAGAACCTCCATGCTGCCTCTATTGTTGGATGCATGCATGATAAATCACATTTTTATCACTATCGCAATATGAATTTCCATGATAAATGTATCATTAAGGGCTGCAATGACAGATCAAATTACCTCATACAAGCAGTGCCAGAGAGACTTCATGATGCTCCCACAATGTAATGACGCACTCAGTATCGTGTTTTAGGTGTGTGAGGTAGTAATAGTTACTTTCACAACAAACATAGTTAATAACTGCACAAAAAATAAATATATAAACAAGAATATTTATTTGTTCTTCTGTATCTATATAAAAAAATAAATTAATATTCATTATATAGCTTTTGTTATGAAGCTGTTTTAGTATTTGTTTTTATTCTGCACAATAAAGAGTGATGCTTTTTGTAATTTTGTGTTTTGCTATTTGCACAAAGGAGAGCTTGTTTAGTTCGATTTCTGTTTACACATCCAGCAAAAGGGCTGCACTTTTGTCACATCCACTCAGCATCACATTATTTTAAGAATAATTTATTGCTTATGATATTGTTATTGTGATATCCGACAGCTTTATCAAACATCACATATTGTGTCCATGTCATGCAGCCCTAATCTGCACACATTCAGAACACAGTTCACATCGCTGTGGAAACCCTTATTATTGATTTGTTTCAGAGTAGCAGCTAAAAGTGGCTGAAGTGTGCGAAGTATATTCCGATTCAAATGTTTGCTTGTTTAAATAGTGGTAGGAGAGGTGAGCCAGCAACTGAAAGATTGTGTGTTCAAATGACAGAATTGACAGGGTGTACCTGGTTGTGCCCTTGGGCAAGACACTTCACCCCCCACTGCCCCAGACAGCGCTGCTCTGCTGACAACGCTGTGCTGCTCCCAGAATTGGGCATATGTAGACAGCAAAATGACAAATTTGTGTGGCAAAAAAAATGCTAACATAATTGTGAAATCACATTAGTGAAGTACACCGGTGAGCCAAACCTTTATGACCAGGCTAATATGCATTTTTTCCTTCGTGTGCTGCCAAAACAGCTCGGACCCACCGAGGCATGCCCCCCTACAAGACATCTAAAGGTGTTCTGTGGTATCTGGCACCGAGATTTGTCAGTGCACTGCAGTACACTATATTGTTATATGCGCATTTCTTCATTCTATATTAAAACCAAAGCAAGAAACTCTAAGTTACGAATATGAATAGCCTCACTAACATGGTTGATTAATCTCTACACTGACTAAACGAAATCCTAGCAACGTCTTTAAGGAGGCTAGCTTTACATGCTGTGTTTTCTGTCATGTTGAATGCACCAGTTGCTTAGAGTTGCATAGATTCCTGGAGCGTTCTCTCCCACAGCCGCAGTAATCCTCAGCTCAACCATTTTGTTACATCTCGTCTTTCTGACGCAGCGGAATGTGCTAGAATGTGCTGTTGAAGACGTTGAGATTCCCTGAGAATCGTCATGCTAGATTCTTGTTTCCATGGAAATGATGCCGGGCTGTTGGGTATGGTGTGTGTCTGTGGCTGTGTTCACATTACAAACCTTGTTGCTAGATGCATTTTTTTGCTCAGATTTGATCTTTCTTGATGGTTCAGATGACCCATATCTGCCACTGGTGTGAAAAGACCTCTGGCCTAGAAGGACAGCTGCTGATCCACTGTCCAAACTGAATGCTGACCACAGTGACAAATGCATGCATAGTAAAGTGTGATGTTAATTCAGATGCGTTTTATTGTGTCGTGGGAAGCAAATATGGCCATACATGTTGATATTCAGTTAAGCTTTTGCTGTACATTCAGTATTTCTGTTGATTGTTTCCTCGTATTATTTTCATTAAATACACAGTTGTTACTGACTGGAGGGAAGTTGCTGTCAGAAAATATACAATACTGTGCAAAAGTTGTTCATTTATTTCATTTCCAGTCTAAACGATCGTTAAGTACGAGTTATTCATTTTAGGAAAAAAGAAGAAAAAAGGAGAAAACACGTTTAAAAATGACATATGAGCCTCAACAACTAGATATAATATCATTTTTTAAAATTTTTTTAGTGTGTCCACCCTTTGCCTTTATTACAGCTTCCATTTTTTCAGGAGACTTGCTTTCAGTTTTACAAAGAAATCTGCAAGGATATTAATCCACACCTTCACAGTTCAGTCTTTGAAGAAAACTAACCCAGCATAACCAAAAGCTAGCAAGCTAGACCACCTGTCTGCAGCTGCCTGTCGCCTGTTCATTCATTTATCCAGACACGAACTTTGTTTTTTCGTCCATTCCTTCATTCATGCGTTGCTTCGTCCATCTGTTTGTTTGTTCATCTGTGTGTTAATTCATCTGTTTGTTTGTTTGTTTGTCTGTCCATCTACGTCTGTTCGTCAGTGACTTTTTTCATCCGGCTACCGTCACATAAAGGTTGAATGATGATTTTGGTTCTGTATGAGGGGGCGGAGCAGGCTAGGAGTGTTGGACAGAGAGCTGTCAATCAAGCTGCTCATTAGCCATGCCCACACAGTTAGGTCTAATCAGTGGTTTTAAGCTGTGTTTTAGCATATTTATATCTTCTGTTTTAATATAACACTCAAGTTTATTATCATACAAACGTTTTTAATATTTTCTCTGTGTTCCTTGGGGCTTTAAGTTCTGTTTGTCTGATGGGAACAGTTTTAGTGGTCTACCAGGGGCATGTTCAATTTCAAAACGTTGTGCACTGGGTTTCTGGGTTAAACAGCAAAACAGTGTGCAACGGGCTTTAAGGAACGCTTTCTCTTGTTTGTATATATAAACCCCACTGTATTAGAAAGACACAATGGATTCTAATAAAGTCCTCTGCAGTGGAGCCTCTGCAGCTTGGTGTACAATTGAAACAACTGAAGACGTTAGAAGACATATTTTGAAGTATTAAACACCCATTTAAACCTATTTCATCAGGCTCCGAAAATTCTTCGAGAAGAATGCCAAGAATGTCTTCTCAGCTGCCATAGTTGCAGTGCTTCTGTAACACAACAGAGTGTCCAGCGTGCCACCGTTTCCCTTTAAATAAACATTTTGCTACGTCTTGTCTGGTTTGAACACAGCCCTGGTCTTGCATGATTCTTAGGAGTCCCATTTTCTCTTTAATTTTAATCATTTTAATCATTTTTTCTCTTTAACTTTTATCATTTTTTCATTCTAAATTTTGAAACGAAGAGTGGTCTCTGACTTTTGCACAGTGCTGTATTTTTTTAATGTTATGTAACCCTTGGTAAGCATTTTTTCTCCCATTCCCGCAGTTAACCAAATATCAATTCAGCAATGAATATGTGCTATTTAACCCTGTAATGTGAACTTAGTCTGTGTGTGTGTGTGTGTGTGGTGTATGCTGGAAGTGTGAGTGAGTGAGCTGATGATAACCTGCTCTTCCTGTCTTCTGCAGGGTGACGGGGGGAGAGCTGTTTGAAGACATCGTAGCCAGAGAGTACTACAGTGAGGCTGACGCCAGGTATGCAACCCATCCTTGCACTTGTCTTTTTCTGTGCATTTTCTGCTGTCGTGACCCCCCCCCCTCTTCCTCTCTGTCTCTCTTTCTCTCCTCTTGTTTCCCCTTGTTTTCTCTCCTCCATCATTCACCCGGGTTGATCTTCACCCCCACTTGCACACATTGTACTGTTTTACATGTGTTAGCTGCGTCAGTGTTTGGATGTGCTTTTTTGGAAAGCTTCCTCCACAGGCTAAAACACTGATCTCATTCACGTACAGAGACACTTAGTGGTTTAAAGGGGCCATATCCTACATTTATTCTTGTATTTTATTTCTTGTGTGCTTTGTGTATGTGTCAAAAATGTTCCAAGAATCAATTTTACATGATTTTCTCTTTATTCCTCATAAGCAGGCTGTTTTTGGTTACTGTGCCTTTAAGACTCTCTCTCTCTCTCTCTCTCTCTATATATATATATATATATATATATATATATGATCTCTGTTCTGTTGGCTGCCCTGTATTGTACCTCATAACATCAGTGTAAATGAGCAGGCTAAACTGCTGTAGGCTGAATAGGTGGGGATGTGACTTCACAAAATAAAGAACTTAAATTTGTGTTTTTGCAGCTTAGTTTCCAAATATGGACTTAAATGACGTTTTATGCCATATCAGACTTTTTTTATTTTCACATGATATGGGCCCTTTAAAGCAGTAGTATAATTTGAAAGAAGGACATTTGTGTTTTTACACATCATAGGTAGTTTACATGAGATCCCAACAAGTGTTTGAACGAGCAGACAGTGGCAGAATCATGGACTGAACTGCGCTGTATTTGAATGTTTAGCCTCTCATGTTTTTAATTTTTCAATCTCTCTTTCTTTCTTGATCTTAACCGATCTTTCTCTTTCCTCTCCACCTCATCTTTTCAGCCATCTCACTTACAGCAAACACACACATACGTACACACGTAATGCTATTCTTCAGCTCAAGAAAGAGATTGCGATTCACTTATCCATGCTCCACCCACAAATGCGTCCTTTCTTAGTGACTGAGGTTGGAAAAGCTTTACTGAATGTTGACACACTCCCAACAGGGTTCAACATTAACTTGTTCCCCAACATTTCTGATCGGGCAACTGAACTGAAAGTTTACTGTCCCTAAAAGATTTCAAGCTCTCCTGAGTAAATTTTGATTCAGTTTTTTTTTCAATCTTCTCACTGTTTTATGTACCTTACATGGCGCTTGAACGATGCCTTACACTGCAAATGATTACTAGCTAGACATTTGGCAGTTGGCTACATCTAACTTGATGCTCAACTAACCTAATACATTTATTCTGGAATTTAAATTTGCTATGTAACAAGTTTCAAGTTAAAAATGTTATCAAGGTGGGCTGTATTGTTGTAGTTGATTGAAACAGCAATTTGGAAACATCAGTGCCTTTGCCACCGTGCTAAAATTAGTTTGTTTACACATTAAAAAAAGAACTACACCCGATCTGTCCTACCAGTGTGACCTTTCACACACATACCAAATAAATGTCATTTGATTAATAATGCATAATTGAGATACTTGGACAAAGACTGAGTTTGCTGCAGTTTCTCATTAGATTAAGTAGAATGTTTACCAAGAGCCTGTAAAGCTTGTGCAACCTCAGCACATTTGTAGGCAGAGCTTGGATTGGTCTCTTCTAGTGACTCCCGTACTCTGCTATTGAATGATAGCGTATGTATGTGTGTGTGTATATGTGTGTTTGTGTGTGTGTGTGTGTGTGTATGTTAGGGCTGCACTACATATGGTTTGTTAAATGCTATTGTGATATTGGGTCTTATAATATTGATGTCACAGAAGGGAGCGATATGCAAATGCACAACATTTTAGTAACAAAACAAATTATAGTGTCATAAAATGGCATTTTAAATTTGAATCCTACATGCCTTCTTTATTTGTAAACTGTTTTGAGTTTTTTGGCAACTCAACTCACCACAAACATTGCAATTTGCCCCCCCCAAGACAAAAAGTTTTGGCACTCCTTTAGCGTGGAGTGATCCTGACCATTCACAGTTCCAGATGAGCTTTTCTATGGGTGTTTTAATGAATCATGGAATCCATGTAATACAGCAAAAGTAAAGTATGTTGGTCAGTCATGTTTTACCATGTGTTGATGTCTTACCATGCATCTGATGCTTAGATTTGTCTGATAATTCAAACCAATATGTGATGATGCATTTATTGTATTCTAGAAAAGCAGAATGTTTAGATGCTGCTGGGCTACTGAGATAAAATATCTGCATTCATTCACTTTACTGCAATGGTGAAGTTTGTAACAGTATAAATAAAAATGTTATATTTATCCATAATGCTAGTCCAGGTGAATCGTGCCCTGACTTCTACGTTTTATGTGTTTTAGCATCAACAGATATGTGCACAAAAAATTATTGTGTTTCAGCATCTGCCTAGAATTCCAATATCAACGCATTTCTATTACAGGGAATATAACAGTCGTACTTTGAGCTGTCAGTATTGTTTATATTGTGTAATCTACTGATTATGATTAATTAAGTGATAGAGTTAGAGACTCATTCTTCACTCTTTTAAACAAAATGTTTCATCATAAAAGCTGGGGAAAATGACAACTACGGCTTTATAATTACCTGCGGATACTACGCTCATCATTCAACTAGCGAACTAATCACTTAGCCAATTTATGAGAATGTAAATTTTAATAAATGATTTTTAATTGAGTTATCGAATAATTGCATAATGTGATTAGAACTGTAATCTGTAACAAAACTGTCATAATGCCAGTGTTTTGTCCATGTTGTGCAGCCCTAGTGTGTGTGTATGTGTGTGTGTGTGTGTGTAAATGCTAGCATATGCTCGTGGGCCTGTGTGCGTATTTTATCAGTTGCGTGTGTTGGGTGTGTGAGTGGATAGTGTGGGTGTGTGTGCTTTTCCTTATCACCCTTCTGTTAAGAGCCTCATGTTGACAACTGACCATTACAGCTGACAATAGATTGTGTGTGTGGTGAGTATCATGTGAAAGTGTGTGCTGGCTGGTTTGATTTGTTCCAAGCCAGTTCACATCGAGAGTTTTGATGTCCTCTGTAGTCCGACAGCAGTTTTATAGAGGCAGCAATGAGTGCTGACTGTGAGACAGAAGCAGTGTTTACATGCACACCAGTGGTTTATCATTAGTACATCTGCGACTGCAAGTCTTACTGTGTAAACAGGGCTGTTTGGTTATCGCCAGGGCTGTGACAGTATGTTTATCTTCAGTCTTGATAAGATTTTTGATTGTCAGGTCAAAATTAGGTACTATTTTTGAAATTTTCAGTGTTAAAAATATCTTCTACAGAGTTCTGATTCTCTACTACGCAGACTGGTTAGGCTCCAAAAGTACAACTATTATTGTAAAAAGCATTTCAAAACAAAACAATCGCAAAGCAGCATGTACTTGTGCAAAATAGTGATCTAATAAAACAGTACAACTGAGCTATAAATACTACAAAGTGGATAAGATGTGCCCTAATATCTAGTTTTGATCACTAAGTTAGGGGTGTATCAGCAATATAGTTTTGAAATTTACTGCACTGTTACAAACTTTTTCAGTTTTGTAAAACAGTACTGAAAAGGTTACACCTTTAATGGGACAAAATGAAAAATATAACAGTTGCTACCATCTGTTGTAAACATGCCTATTCGCCTCCTTCAGTGGTGCCACAATAGCCTAGATAACAACAACCCAACAAACTGCAAATAAAAAACGAGCTGCAAACTCAGGAAACACTTGATACGTGATAAAGTTAAACAGTAATACAAGAAATTATTAGTAATAATTTAGAATCATACAAGAAAATGACACAGATCAAATTAAAAGACAAACACAACGAAATGTAGAGTTTTAATTAAATGCAAAGTTGGAGAGAGATGCTTTGAGATGCTTCTTAAAAGTGAGCACTGAGCTTGACTGTCTAATCAAACTGAGTTCCACATTTTGGAAGCAGAATAACTGAACGAGTCTCTCCATTGTTTTCTGTATTTTACAGAATGTATTTGCAGAAGGTCAGTATCTGCAGATCTAAGATGATGTGCTGGAACATAAACAGACAGACAGTCTGTGATGTAAGCGGTGCTTTAAGGTCATTTAGAGCCTTAAAAACTAGTACCAGAACTTTCAAATCCATCCTGAATGATACATGTAGCCAGTGCAGCTCTCTTTTTTGTTATTAGCATTGTCATTAGCTTGGGAATTAATTTTTTCTGTATTTTTTTACATCTTAATGTTTAGAGTCGTGTACTTTAGGTAAGACAGTACATGTCAACTGGATATTAGCCAGAGATAATACAAATGAATGCTTCTTCGGGTGCTTTCGAGGTCAAAGAAACACCTTATCCACAGAATATGATGCCATTTTAATGACACATTGAGTCACACTGGATTAATATAAGATGGGGTTAAATGTGGGGTTAAAAAGGACTTAACCCCACTTATGTAAAACTAATCCCACCCGAATACGCTTTTGTCAGCCTAAGTTTAACACACATATTTGATTCAGCCTATGTTGGCCATACTATTCAAGATTCAAGATAGATTTGGACAAATCATGACTCTCTCTTGGAGTTTTTGTGACTTTTTGCAGCACTTACTGTCTTAAAGTGTGCCATTAACGTTATAGTTAAGTCAGCTTATGCTGGTGTGCATGTAAATAGAACTATAAATAGAGTAGTTTTTATTCAGCCCGTGTAAACGTCTTGGTTTGTTCCAGCTTCTTGGACTAACAGGACCTTAATCAGGCTAGTGTGAGCAGGTAAGCGTAACTAGTGTGTGCTGGAGTGCTGGAGCTGTTGCTGCTTACACGTGCAGGTGTTTTGAAAGTATTAAGTAATGTAATAGTGCAGTGTTCTACATGCCTGAGGATAATGTCAGTCAGGCAGCTGTGTTCCACCAATAGACCACCAATAACAAGTGTCATTGTACAAATCATAGGGGTGTAAATCTGAAAGTGACAATTGATTTT